GATCACATTTAACAGAGCAGTATCGTAAGTACAGGCACTAGAAACTTCAAATTAAACCAAAAGAGAAAATACTACTGAAAATAAGCCCACAAGGGTCATGGGTACACACAGGATATAAATCTTCTAAACCTGGCCAACTAATGAGCAGAGAGATATTGGGTACTGTTCCCCTTTCCTCAGTCTTCAAGCAATAACCCTGCAGCCACTTGTGCAGCCATCTGTAACAAATCAGTGCTGTCTCGTTCCCTCCAGTCCTGGCCTCTTCTCTCCCACTCCACACAATCTTCCTCCTCTGAAGGTCCAGACATCTGGAACAAACGTCCCTGTGTTTCTGCCTCATTGTTTCTATCTCTTTTGAACACTCAGCTAAAAGCATTTCTCTCTTCCTTATAATCTCTCACTTCCTCTCTCTCCCCCTCTTGTTTTTAAATTCAAAAGGGGTTTTGGGTATATAATTCACAGGAAAGACATTACATAAAGTAAGGCTGCATAAAAACAGAGATATCTATCAGATCCTGACATTACTATTTTACAATGCAGAGAAATGCAGTTTACTCCATTCCTCACAAAGTTCTGTGCCTATATGTCTTCAAATTTATGTGTATAGCTTTATATTTTACATTAAGAAATGTCAAGAAGTATCTTGAAGTCTAATATTGAAACGTGCTTTTAATATCTCTCTCAAGTGTAGTTCCCCTTCACCCCATACATCATAACATACAAAATATTATTTTTGTAGTCAACTCCACAAACTTGCTTTACTCATTTCAGATGAGCGAAAGGAAAAAAGACTAAGACTGATTAAAGGACGTTGGACAGACATAGACAGTGAGTAAGCTATGAGCAACTGCCCAAAGAACAGTAAAAAACAAAGAAAACAAGCTCAAAGAAGATTACTTCCATGTGTTTTGATTAGATATAGCATAATGTAGATGTACACACAAGATATATAATATTTATTTTTCACATTTTACTGTAAAGCCACAGAAAAAATAGTGGATTCATTCTGGTACATAATTATTATTAAATCACCTAAAATACTCATGTGGTATTTTTTAAATATGTGGAATTAAGTGATATATGTTATGTTAATAGCCACATATTCAAATCATACATATCTATGTACAGAGATGAGTTAATTTCTCACTTGTATTTCATATTCTAATCAAACCCCTCACATGGTATTTTATACTACTGACTAATGCATAACAACCATGAAATTGATTACAACTATAGTACATATAGGTATGCTGTATTTATTCATTTTAATATTGTGACCCACCATATGGAAAGCATACAAATATAAAAGTAAAACATGTAATTCAATCAGCCATGCAGAGGAAATAGTCTATGTATAGCTTCAAGGGCCTTTCAGCTATTTTGTACAAGAAGCAAGAAGTGTAGAAAAAAGCAGTGCGGTAAACTTAATGAAGTGTTAGGTTAAGCATACATTACTAGGGCTTAGCTTTGCTGCTGCAAAAGCTTAGTTTTTGTTCAGCAAACTGAACAAAAATGTAGGTTCTGTTGGAATCTCAAGAAGTATTTGTTATTAAAACAGGGGTTTTTTGGTTTGTGTTTTTTGTTTTCTTTGTGGTTTTTTTTGTTTGTTTTTTTTTACAGATGCCAATATTTTTAATTGAAACCTCAAGTAAGATTAACTACATTTATATCAGTGACAAACATTAAGATTTGTTCTTTCTAAATATTATAAGAATGTTCTAAAAAACAAAGCGCAATATTCAAGTAAATTGTGAATATTAAAGAAATAGGATTAAGATGACAATGACGACTTGTTAAATTTTTTCAAAGAATGGTTAATAGCACCAACTGTGTTTATGAAGCTGTCACCTGGTTTCTCTACAATCTGGTTACTGTGATTTTGTATTCAGACTACATCTGAACTAAAATGGATTACACCTGAGCTTTAAAATCAGAAGCCATAATATTTAAGGTTGCTAAGAAAATTTTGTCCCATCAGAAAAATCAGTACCGACAGACCCTTGTAAATAAAAAGCATATGGTCAAGTTTACCTTGAAGATGACAAGGAAACACAACATCAAAGAAAATTTAAGTGAAAAAAAAAATCTAAGCCTAACTCAGGTAAAAATTCTGGACAGATCTTAGACAACATTATTCTTTATGAAGAACTTGTAGAAAAATAACCCACTTCTTGGATCCATTGTCCACCATGTTCTCTTATCTGTTAATAGTTCCCAGTTCTACCACATCAGCTAATTAGGTATCACAACCAAGAAAAAGCAGAATAATAATATATTTACTAGTTGAAAGAAAGACAGATAGCCAAATGAAGTTTAAGTAATTTACAATTCAAAGACTAAAACCTGTGTGTTCTCTACAAATGCATGATAAAAAAGCATTTTAGATCCATGTGTACTGATATACGTAACCTTTAATTAAAGAAAGGTGTATAAACAATTGAATAGTCATCATAAACCAATTCAAATACTGTCAGATTATTCCAATACCATAAAGTCTCCGTTTAACCTCACGTTTGCTCCAAGTCAGCAAATTTCATCATTAGAGACTGCAGCTCTTGTGAAAATATCCATGTTTTCAATTATCCCAGAAACAATTCCAAGTATTCTCAAAGCTCTGATAACTAAAAGCACTGGACCAGGTTTATGCTCCAGATATAATTTAACCTCAGATTTTTATATTCAGAGAAAAGACCTCACAACATCACCAGATAAAGAAGCCCTCTGGTATTATCAGGAAAATCTGGTAATGTATAATGGTTGCCTTGGAGAACACACAAGATGACCAGTATCAACTTGAACAGTATCATTTAAATCTGGAGAGAACACAGACTAGTCTAAGTGTAAACACAAAAGTGGCAACAAGGGGAAATTTTAATCAAGCATGTGTGCAGTCAATTATAGTGCCATTGTTCCAGTAGAAGTGACAAGCATGCAAGCAGTCTGTTTCTCCCAGGGAAAATGTGTCCCTTCTGGGAGAAAGATCTTCCAGTTGTCAACCTGGAAGATCTTCCTTGCAAGAGAGTTTATCTTGTAAGAATGAATGCTTGTGCACTCCCCTCCTGGTCTGGTCCAGGGCCAGGGGGTGGCAACAGGATAATGCTCTCCACCTCCTCCCCAGACCAGGGACTGCCTGGTCTGGGTAACAGGCTGGGGGTTTTGCTCCTAGTGAAGGGTTTAGGCTTTTGTGGGGGCTTTTTGGACCATATCACACAAGGAGAAAGCTCCTCCCTCCATGGAACTTAAAGAACCCTGCAGGCATTGGCTTTGAACATGCCATGTTAGAGGGTCCTCCCTCTCATAAAGTGCCACTTTAACGAGTTATACGCCAGCAGCCCTGCTGCTTTGCCTTACATTGGAGAAGTGGCAGATCTGCCCTGCCAGGCCCCATTCCCTGCCTGCTCCCCCAGCCCCCTGAGCATCCCCCAACCCCTGCCCACTTTCCCAGCCCCCACCCCCCTGCCCATGGCTGCCCACCTGGTTCCAGCTCCCAGTTCTTTGGGAGGAAAAACAAAGAAGCCCCACACTCACCAACTGCTGCTGCAGCAGCCTCAGGGCTTCTGGGGGCTCATGGTAGAGTCCCCCATGTAGTGAGAGGCAGTGGGGATCACCACCCCAACTGGCAGCAGCCAGTGAGTTGGGGCATTTTTTTTTTTATTGTTATTATTTTATTTAAAGAGCCAGGAGCTGGGGCCAGGACAGTGGGAGGGGGTGGGGCCAATTCAGCTGTGACCAAATCTTTGAATCAGATTGGGCCAATTTGAATCGGGACATTGATTCAAATCACCGAATCAAGTCACTGTCCCCCAAATCAGCTGAATCCGAAGTGAATACTAGCCGCTTTGCACAGACCTAGTGTTCACCCCTCCGCTCCCAGAAAGCTCCAGAGGGACTAAGCTGGGCTGGGATCCAGCCAGCAAGCCATTTGTATGACATCCCTGGTTTAAGGGGGCTTGCTTTATATGTTATTTTAATGTCCTATTGGCCTTATAAAAAGTATTTTGTGCCTCCTGTTTTGTTCTCTTGTTTGCTTGTTTTATAAGTTATTTTGCTCTCTTCTGTAAGCTGACCTGAGCTTTTGTCAGGAAGAGTCGCACAAAGCTAATACGTCCATCAGTTAAATAAATACATAGAAGGCCAGGGATAATTAAATATTCTTTTTTCATGCTACTGTAAGCTGCCTTGAAGAGGGCACAAAATCTAAGAATTCTGGTCAGGATAACTTTACCAACAATAGTATATGTACTGCACCAGTTTCTTGGATGTTGCAACTACTTTCACGTAGTTTCACCTCCCCCCTCCTACACATACACATCTGGTCATCAACAAGTATGCTTATTAATCCTCTTTCATACCACTTAAGTGCTACCCACTTTAATATATATACCCTGTACTATGTTAAGATAAAATCTATTATAAGATGCTATTAATATGAGATATTAATACCTATTCCACAGAACTGTGATTCACTTTAGAAAATAAATATAACTGACCAGACTATTTTAAACAATTGCAATAATTAGGAAAAGACATCAGAAGAACATCCATTAAAATACAGTAAAAGCTGAGTTATCCAGCACCTTACAAGCCGGCATGCTCTGTTAACTGGTATACCGGCTTGTAAGGGAAAAGTGAAACCGGAAGTGCTCACCGTGGCACTTCCAGTTTTGCAGAGCCCCCACAGCCCAGGGGAAAGCAGCCTGCACTGCCGAGCCACCACAGCCCAGGGCACAGCAGCCTGCGTATATCTCGCCTCCCTGTCCCTCAGGGCCCGCAGGAGGGGTGGCAACACCCCGGATGTGGTGGGACAGGCAGAGGCCCAAACAGGTAAAGACGCCTGTTCGAGCTGCTCAGTTATCCAGCACCCTCCGTTCCCCATGGGTGCCAGATAACAAAGCTTTTACTGTAATCTAAACTAATTTTTCCCGAATTAAACAGAGTGCAACTCTTTCTATAACACTACAATGAATTATTGTATTTATCAAATACTTAAAATCACTTACCTTCTGAAAAAAGTCTTCTCCGCTTTTACCTTTGCCCTCAGCAGCAGCTAAAAAAAAAAAAAAAAGATGGTTTACAAAATAAACCTGAGAAACGATGATTAAGTTTGCAGTAGCATACTTTTACATTATTTAATCAGGGTAGTTGTAAAGTATGTTTATACATGTGTACATTTCTCATAAACATTTTGCATAATTGAGAAATCACTATTCATTTTTCTTATCCAACATATTCTTTAGTCTGATAAAAAGGACTTGTTTCTATAACAATGAGTCATTGCACTCCACTGCTTCTGGAAACTTAGGTTCAATTTCTGAAGAAAAGAGTTTGTAACCTCCATGAATATAAAAATTAATCTAGCATTTCTCTGAGAATTACAGATTCACTTGCTAGTCTTTAGACAGACAAGGTAAAGGTAAGCTGCAAAGCAATAATCAACACTGACAAACCAATAAACACAAAAAAATTCATAGTAAGTGGTTGTAACAATTTCAAAATATTAACCTTAATTTAAAATATTTGCCCATTATGCAATCTTCTTGATACTTCCTGATTCAGTGAAACTGCCTAATAATACATCACCAGAAAAACAAAGAAAAAAGTCTTTTGAAGATACAAGCACAATTCATAACATCAGTGCCATTAACAAGTAATGAACCAGTCATGTTTGTTTAGCAGCTTTCTGAGGTTAAAAATGCAACACAATTACTGATTATGAGCTGTCAATGTTATGTCAGTGTGAAAGAGACAAATGCAATCCCATGATTTATCAGGACAGAGATTGAGTAAACCTTGGTATGGCACTGGGATACTGGATATGATTCTAGTCACCTGTATCAGGAAAGATTAAAACACAGAGAAAGGCTTCTAAAGCAACAAGGGGGATGAATGAAGCTTTGTTTTTGCTAGACTAGGAGGATAAGGACCATGGATGGAGAAGAGCTATTTATTCTAAAGAACAATGATGACAACAATACAAATGGATATAAACTGGCCATGAATAAATTGAGACTAGAAACCAAGTTTCTAACCTTCAGAGCAGTAGGATTCTAAAACATCCTTCCAACAGAAGTAGAGAGTGTAAAAGACCTATTTAAAGATGAAGATCATAAACTTATTTGAAGTGTAAATAATCCCTTTTTACATTTTTATTTAGTATGTAATTTATTTGAATATATTTATAGCTTCTCTGTGCTTCAGCTGACAACTTTACTTGAAAATATGCTGGATCTTCCTTAACTAAGTTAACTGTTTGCAGATGAACACACAGCTACGATGGAGTCCTAGATAGAAATATGTATTCCTTAAATTACATTAGAAAGTTGCAGTAAACTCAAAGTTCTGTTTTCCCTTTCTGCATCCAGCCATGCAGCCTGCCCTTCTAGTGTAGCCAAGAAGTTACAATATTTCATCCTATATTTCAGAGTCCTGAGAATAACCTCTTTCTCATCTCACCATTCCCACAAAAAGCTTCAATTTGGTATGAGACACAGGATGAAGCTAAATGAAGCAGACTTGTTGGGCACTTTATCTTAATAGTGATTCCAGAATATCACAATGATGGGAATAAGACAGTATTATTATTATTAGATTTATTAATTCTACAACAACAACATAGTTGAAGAATGGAGCAGTTAGAAGCTCGAGAGCTGAAACTCTGGATAAGATTCAAACAATGTTTCATGGCCTCAAACAAGGAGGCTAAATTAGTAATAGTAGTTTACAGCTTTTGCTAAAACAAGAAGATAGAATGAACAATACTATTACATATGGTATAAAAATAAAAAATTACATAATGTGTGGTTATTGGTAAATGCACACAATGAAGCTCCACATTCTGCTAATTTAAACAAAAGTAAAATTGAGCATAATATATGATGATACAAAAATAGAGTGAAGCAATATTAAAAGCAGAAGGAAGCAGAAAATTAAAAACAGGGAATTTTATTTGATTTTGTCCCTTACTTTTGTGAATGTAGTACGAATTAGGGCTGTGTGAAGATTTAGTCCCCAATTTGATTTGGCCCGATTCTGAATCGAATCAGGAGACCGTTTAATCTATACAAATCAAAATAAGATCCCTCCAAACTGATTCAGAGAGATTTGACAATTCGGATATAGGCACAGTTTTAAATGATTTTTCTACATACCTCAAGGTACCAGGCAGCTCATGAATGCTACAATGGTGGGGTGGATGGAGGGCCACACTCAGCAGCAGACCTGGAAGTGGACCAGAAGCACTTCCAGTCCACTTCTGGGTCTTCCAGGGAGTGTGCAGGCCTTGGTGACTGGTTCCTCCTGGGGTCCCCCCGCAGCCAATCCCTGAGCTGGGAAGGTGCGGGGCAGGGGGGGAGAAGGGGGGCCTGAGAGCTCTGTGGCAGACCCAGAAATGGACCAGAAGAATTTCTGGTCCACTTCCGGGTTCACTGCCAAGCACTTCCCCCCGCCCCCGCGCACTCCTGTGGGATGCTCCATCTGCCCCAGCATTACAGTGTTCACGAGCCACGCCTGGTACCTCGATGCGTGTAGAAAAAACATTTAAAGTTGTGTCTATGGCCAAATCACTGATTCTCAGAATAAGCATCAAATCTTCAGATTCAGATTTGGCCAAATTGAATCGGGGACAGTAATTCAAATCAACGAATCGAATCACTGTCCCCAATTAGGACCAAATCTGAATCAAATACAACCTGTATTACACACCCCAGTACAAATAAACGTATGCATATAAATGCCCACAAATATAGGTGTAGCTGCTCCAACTCAGAGCAGACTGTTAATGGCGAAATGCATGTCAGCACTGAGAAAATGATGGCAGTGCACTTTTGAACTAACATACCCTCGATGCGTTTTAGCTCAAAAGCACATCGCCACCATTTTCTCAATGCTGATGCACATTTCGCCGTTTATGCAAATGCATGCAACGCAGTGCCAAGTGCCCGGCGCTGCACCACAAGCACGTTTACAAATGCCAATAGAGTATATAGAACAGGCTGTAAGTTGTTAGAGAGGAGCCAAATTGTTTTTAATGCTTTAGCCCAGTAGTTAATATTTTCCACTAATGGAGAGATCCATTTCCCTCTTATCTCTTCAAAGAACACACAAGACTACAAAAAGTGATCCAAGTCATGGATCTCATTCTTCCCGGAAGAGCATATCCTGTCTGATAGGCCAGTGCAAAGCAGCTAGTATTCACTTTGGATTCAGCTAATTCAGGAGACAGTGATTCGATTTGGTGATTCAAATCACTGGTCTGATTGTTAGGGTGACAAGAATTTAGATTATTAGGAAGCATTGGATCTGCAGCTGGAACAAGGCTTTAACCTGTGTCTCAGCGAAAAGCTGCTGATCACAAGACAAAATGGTGTATTAAAATAATCTAGCAAATGCTTAGGCGAGTAGGTTTTTTTTAAACAAAGGGAATAGTATGCAGAATAAAATAAAACACTGGGCAAAAAGAAACATGATGTGAACCAGCTATCATTAGGAGATAAGGCAGAGGCCAGACCTTAGACAGGCTGCTGAAGTTAGCAGAAAACTAGAAAGAACCAGTAGTTGACCGAGAGTAGCTGGGTTCATGGCCTTATGCATGCGCTCTTAGCAAAGAGGCATGTAAATGAAAGAAATGCATAGGCAATCATATGTTAATGAAACAAATAATAAACAGAGGAGGAGCTTGAGATGGGAGAAGAAATGGGTGGAACCCAAGGAGGGAGATAGGTGGAGTGAATGTTAATATGTATGAACCAAGGTGTATAAAATGTGAAAAGAATTATTGTTCAGGGCTGCTCCCCGTGTTCATAGACTGGGTGTCTGTGAGGGAGCTGGTCCCAAGCTGTCTCTATTCTAAATAAAGCTGTTGTGAGCAATATGTGCTGGTGTTTGCTCCCTGCTTGCTCTGGCTAATGAGTACCAGGATCCATGAGCAATTGGACCGTCGTCTCCCTAGTCATTGGGCTCTGTATGGAGTGGGGTTCTAACATCTTGGCGTAGTCGGCAGGATTTGACACATATTTGGAGGGGACTGATCATCCCGATCCTGCCAGGGTAAGGCCTAGCAGGCATACTGGGTTCTCTTGGGTGTGGCCACCTCAGTGTGAACTAGGTTCTCCTGGGCCGTCTCAGCTATTGTACCCCATCATTTACCTTTTCCCAGTAGCATGGCAGTGGGTTCAGAGGCTTTTCCTGTGTGTGTGTGTGTGGGGTCAGGGTGACCTCCATAATTTTATTGAGAGTTGGGTTAAATGGAATGGGGGTCCGTTGCAGGCGCCACAGGAGACTCCATCTAGCCCAACTTGGAGTATGACCCGGGATTGGACCGAGGGAATTTTGAGTGAAAAACCTCGGAAGCAAACCTTCTGGAAAGCAGCTGCCCTCCAAGGGTTTTCTTGGGGTGTTCAGGCCTTATGGCTCGAATGCCAAGAATAGGAAAGGCTGTGTCAGGAAAAGGATGCTCTTATTTGTCAACCTGAGGTTGTAGACTAGCAGCAATTATTCAATTGTGCTTCAGTGCTAGCTGCTGAAATAAAGGAGAGAGAGACAGATGATTTGTGAAGTGCAAAGCGTGAGATTGAATCTCTCAAGTCTCTTATTGATAAGATTCAGGTGGAACATGAAATACAGCCGATTCCCAAAGCGTCACTGTTCCAAGGGGCAAAATGCTGCCCGTGGTAATGCCATCTGTCCCCCCTTTTTACCCATCCTCTGCCTCTCCACCTATCCCTCCTGATCCCCGCCCCAACTACTCAGCAGAAGCACACACTGTTGAGCAACTTGTACACCTAAACCTTCCTGCCAGTAGGGCTCCTGCTCCCGCTGACCAAAGGCTACTGCACTGACCTGGTGTAACCCTGCCTGAAGAGACAACTCAGATGCAGCATGTTAGAATCACCTGCCCTAGCCCCATGGAGTAAAAAGCATTAAAAGCTCAATTAGGCCCTATGTCTTTAGAATGCCTGGACCCAATGGCCAGTAAAGGCTGAGAAAAATCTCTCTCTGTTTTCAAGCATGGATTTGGCTGAAATTTTACCCAGGCTAGCAAAAGGAATC